GGCGGCTCCCCGGCCAGCAGCGGCGGGCGTCGGGAACGCCGCCTAGCGGTGGGTCGGAGGCCGGCGGGACTGGAGGCTTCGGGCCTCGGTAGTGAGAGAGATTGTGACAGGGCTTGCAAGAGCGCGGCTGAGTTCTCCTGAAAAATTCTAAAGTCCTCTTTCTATTTTTGTGGTAAGCTGAAAAGAAGATTAGAGATCTGTCCCATGCTTAGGAGAGTTAGGGCCAAGTACTCTTTTTGCCAAGGGCTAATGAGAAAAGAATAACTAAAGGAAGTTTTAAATTATAAAAGCGTCGGGAGAAGGCCAAATGCTGCCTGGGAGAGGGAAGGTTTTACGCAAGTTTGGAGGGAAGAACGAGACATTCACAGTCCTTCCAGAGCCAGTGGGGACAGGCCAGTCTGGAGAAACCTGTGCCTGGACCCTGTGCATCATATCCTTCCAGAGACAATTTGGTTTCAGCAAAACAAGCTCATTTATCTACAACTATTTAATTTGCAAATTTGCTTTCTATAGTAGTATGAGGTCTATAAATACTAGGAATTTATGCCTCATTTTGTTTACATAATATCATAATAGATACTTTGACACATATATGACCCTTTATTCAAGTTTGATAATAACTACAGTTGATAGTAATTCCAAGCAGAGGAGCCAGGTTCCTGTTTAAGAAAGACTACTGTAAAAAAAAAAAAGAAAAAGAAAGAAAGAAAGACTAGTGTGGTGGCTGTGTGGAGGCAGGGAGTCTGGTTGGGAAGGAGGCCCTGACTGATTCAGTCGGGGGAGGATGAGGGATACTAGGGAAGGAGAGGGGGAAACACTCAAGCAGTATGGGAAAGTTTACTGATTGATTAATATTCAAAGTCAGTGTTGTGGGGAGAAAGAGCATCAGCCAGGATAATTTTTGAGTTTCTAGCTTAGATGATGGGAAGATGTAAGCTGAGATAAAGAATCCAGGGCGAGGACAGTTTGAGGGGAGGAAGGTAAATGATTGCCATAGACAAAGCGGTGATGGCAAAACTGTGAAGGTGGATGCCATCATCCAGGTGGGGTATATAGAGGGAGAAACAGGCTGGCAATGGAATCCTGGGGAGAACCAACATTAAAGGGCGATGGAGGAAGGAGACTGAGAAGAAACAAGCTGAAAGACAGGAAGAGAATTTAGAGTGTCTGGTGCCATGGAATCCCAGGAACGGAGAGTTAGGAAAAATGGAATATGAACAGCATTAAATAGTGAAGAGGGACCTGCTAAGATAAATTTTAAATGTGTCTCGAGTTAGGCTATTAGAAGATCCTTTTGTTGTTTTTCAAACTTTTTATGATAGAAAATGTCAAACATTTGAAAACAACAACAGAGAGAATAGAACTGTGGACCCTTATTTATCTTGGGCGAGTAGGATCGTTTTGTTGGAAATGCGTGCCTCAGTTGTACTGTTGCCATCAGTGACCAGCTTCATGTACCTTCTGTGCTGGTGATTCTCTAATGACCGACTCACGGCCAATTTTGTTTTATTTATACCCCTGCTCACCCCCCCC